TAACCTTCTTCTTTCCTATGTTACCACGAGAGAATTATTCTGGTAGTTATTAAAAGGGATAGTGACTCGAACAATCGATGAAGGGTAACAAAGGAAAGAAGAAGGTTAATTATAGGTTCAAGATTAGCTAAGTCAATTCCACACCTTAAGTAGAGAAAAGAAGAATAATTTATCCCAAAATTACATGAGTTTGACCTGCCCCAAGCAACAGACTTGCCATTTCAACGTTAACAATATATTGAAATAATTTTAATTATTTTTATTATTTTTATTATTTTTATTTTATGATGTAATTAAAATTAATTTTAAGAAAATTTTAATAATATATTTTAAAAACTCCATTAAATAAACTTGTTTTTTATATTTTTAAATATATTAATATAGATTTTTATTTTATTTTATTAATTAGTTATTAAAATATTACAAAAATAAAAATTAATATATAGTACAAGTTTTTTTGTCACATACTGTATATAAAAAATAAATAAATAAAAATTTAAAAATTTTAAATATATACAGTATATACAGTATATATATATATTATATATAATAAATAATTCTTTATATTTTAAATATAAATTTATTTAAAATTATTTTTTAAAAATATTAATTCTAATTTTTAAATATCAAAAAAATTTTAAAATAGTTATTTAATAAAAAAATTATTAAAATTCATTTTTAATTTTTAATTTTATACTGTATATATTTTTTTAATAAAATTAATTAGTGATCAATTATTTATGTAAGCTATCATATATTATTTTTATATTTTTATATAATATTTTTAGTATTGAGTATACTATTATATGATTATATTTGATTTATCCAATATTCTTTATTTATTTATTTATGTTTATTTATATTTACAATTCTTTTTTATTTTTTAACAATATTTCTATTATTATTTCAAGTAGATTTAATAATATCAAACATATTTTTATATGATTGAAAATATATTTTATATAATTTTATATGATTATTTTTTTGGTGTTGGTTGATTTGATTTAAGTGAAATTCTTCTATGTTATAGATAACCACTTAATTTATAATATATAAAAATTTTATTTAAAATTAAATTAATATTTATTAAAAAAATTATATTATTTTTTAAATACAATCATTAATTTAATATACATATATATGGTTTTTATATTATATATTTAATAAATTGTTTATAATATGAAATTTAAAAAAAAATTATTATAAAAAATATTTATTATGCAGTATATAAAATTTTATAATTATTAAATTTAAAATCAAATAATATTTATTTTTTAAAACTGTATTTATAAAGTTAAATACAATATGTATAGAATTATTTTTTTAAATTTATAAACAAAACCAATAATCTTAAAAAATTTAAAAGATTTTACAAAATATTATATTTAATTTTTATTTAAATTATAATTTATTAAAATATAATTAAATTAAAAAAATATTGTTATTATTTTATGATATTAAAACTTCAATTAAAAAAATTAATTACAAAAAAATAAAAGTTTAATTTAAGTTTAAAAATTATAAAAAAAAATTTTTTTAATATACTGTATTTTTTATTTCTTTTATAAGAAATTTTTTCATATTTAAATTGTCTGTTTATCAATTTAATATATTAATTAATTTCTACTATTTTATAAAAATTAAAATATTTAATACAATACAATTTAATGTTTATTTTTTTCTTTATAACATCTAGAAACTCATTTATTATAATTATTAAATTCAATTATTACTATTTTTATCATCTTTAGTGGCATTGACAATACCTTTAGCGAGTTTAACACTAGCCTCAAAATATTGATTTGGATGTGAAATAGTTTCCATAGGTTTTTTATCATCACTATTTTTCTCTATACTCCTAGCAATTTCATAATATTTAGTGCAAGCCACCTGATAATGCTTATCTCTTACCAAATTAATGATGTCATTAATCTGGTCGGCGCTTCTTATGCCATTATCAATCAAACTAGCTCTTAAATTGTCCTCTGAGAAATGTCTAAATGGACAACCGTGATTATCGCCCGGGCCTGGATGATTGTTCATTATTATGCTCACACAGCTTATCAATTTGATAAACAATTAAAAGATGTTAGTATTGATTTTCGTATATGGAAAGGCAAAAGATAACGATGGCTTCTTACCTCAATGGTGCGTAGTCATGACGCTTTCCTTCCATTCCATAATTATGCCTAATATTATATGCATATTCCTTCTGAAACTTAGCATCATCAATTTTAGTGAAAGATTTCCTCCAGAAAACAAGTGCCTCTTCAAGCGTAAGACCGATTCCCTACGTATAAAAAAACATATGATGAATTTTTTGGGATACATACACTCAAGTAAAAGTAAATAAGGGATTGTATGCAGATGTACCTTAAGGAATAGGTTATACTGTCTTCTACTGTAATGTCTCAAATGCTTGTTGGCACGAAGATTTTTGTGCAAATTTTGCATGCACAGTGGAAAGTGTTCAACCAACTGATCAAAACATACGCATGTTTAATTGTTTAACCTTAATAATCTAATAAATTTATACAACACTTGTTTGAAACCTGCCTTGTCTACATCTTCAGCTGTCACTTTTCCAGCAACAGTACTATTGCCAGTAAAGGTCTTGCCGAAGTACTGCTTGTTTATATTATTTAAGAGTGGCATGATACGCTCATCATCTAAGTTTGGAAACGCTTTGCTAGCCAACTAACGGAAATAAGATAGTTAAATAAATTTCAACAATGTCTCTAATAATCACAGTATACATACTAAGAGTGAAGCTTCAAGTTTCTTACGAAATTCGCCTAAGACGAGCGTGACTTGTTCGGATGACGGAACATAAGCCTTACCTCTCTTTAAGTATACTGCACGTCGTGAGACTAGGTCTAATACTTTTTCAAAATCTACCTAATAATAATGACTTGGTAATGAACATACATTCTCATTCAAAAAATATATTTTTTTTTTCTTTATAAATTATAATACCTCAAAAAAAGTTTCATCATCAAAGTTTGTTTTTGAAAATGGTCCTAATTCATTCTTCATGGAATCTTTCTCGGCTTTCGCTAACTAATTTTTGTGAAAAGATATTATGTAGACAACCACGCATTGAATAACAAAGTAAATTATATTCTGTAGACTTACAAGGGGCCAATTAAGATTCTCGTCAGCTAAAAACGCTTGCTGTATATCGCTTTTTTCTTTTAGAAATCGCATTCTGTTAATAATATCAAGTTTGCATAAATATAATTCTTAATAGCAATTTACATAATTAGACTTTTTTGAAATTTACCTGAATAGTATGCATTCATATTTTAAAAACCAATTCCTTAATTCTTCACTAACATAAGAAAGTTAATTAATAAACCATCACATTCCATAAATAAAAGATCAATTCGTCCATGTATCTTACCTTCGACAATAAGCTAATCTCAAAATAAAATGAGAAATATGATCTTTTCTTCTTTCCGCTGGTAGATCATAGCCCAGTACCGCTTCATTTGAATGTAGGGGAATATATTTATCGATTGTTGCATCTACGTGCTTGGCGACTTGGTCTTCTGCTTTCTCACGAAGTATTGCGCCTTCAATAGCTTTTAGTACTTTGTGGTTTTAAAAAAGCTGATGTTTGAAAATGATTCGTTATATGTTCAACTTAATTAATAATAAAATACAAGCATGTTACCCTGCAATCTATCTAAAGCAAAGGTTTCAAATTCATCAATTGTGATACTCTCAAGGGGTGGATAAGTGTAAAAGTTGAGAGTATGCGGATATTTTGGTCCATGTCTTTTAACTTGGCCGTATTGTTCACTGACTTGTGCTAACTGTCGTTTACGAGAAAACATTTTTGTTTCCGAGAACGCGATAATAATTAATAAGTTACGCGTTTGATCGTCGTATATTTTAATCGAAGATCATCTAGCCTTATATACTGTAATAAAATTAAGTTGTTTTAAATAAAGGTTTTAGTAATAAAATAAAAAAAATCAATTAAAATATTGTTTTGAAAAAAATGCAAACATATTAGTAGCATTAACAAGTAAAGTTTTTATTTGATTTAATATCTGTAAATAGTAAAATATTTGCAGTATTATATTTTAATTTTAAATAAAAAAATGTTAAAGTTCATATTAAATTATAGTAATGTTTAATTCTAAAACTATAAATAACTATTACTAAAAATTTTTAATTTTATTTATATCACATCATTGCTTCTTATTAAGTTAAATTTATTATTTTCCTATTATAGATCTTAGATTTTCAGAAAACGTGTACAGAATACACAGATATTCTTAATATAGATCTTAAATTTTACGAAATACAAAAACAAACCAATCTGCCTTTTTATGCATAATTCACAATTACACAAATGAAGTTTTTAACGTTCGCTGATTATGGTTTTTGTTGGTTCCCAAAAATTATATACGCATTCATAATCATTGATTAATGATGCATTACATAAATGCAACAGCAAACACTGTGTTGTTTGTCTCCCTTTTGCGTAATCGAACAAATAATATTCTAAGACTTAAAGGAATATTTCCGAGAATCACGACCATGCTTAATATGAGTTGTGCAATTGTAGATCCATTGATGCACCCATCGACGTATATTTACTTACACTTTAAACCAATCACTTAAAAGTGAGTAATATGTATGACCTTGACGCGTAAAAAGTCATAATGCAAATTTTTGCATATCACATTGCAACAAAAAGATCACGCTACTAGTTGTAAGAGCAGGGAATGATAAATAAATAAATAGCAAGGTTACATAAATTTTTCGCCTCACTCTTTTACATACCAAATCGCTTTTTGTAAGTAATGTCATCAAATGCCTCTCGTTTACCTTCGCGACTCCCTATCAATGTCACCGCCATGACAAATGAGATTTCAGCTGGACAGCAAGCTTTAACGATTTCAAAACTGCAAAGGCCCAGTTCATTAGATACGAAACTAAAGCTTCCTTCGGCTGGAATTAAAAACTTAACCTTTACCCATCCATCTTCGACGCAGCATAATGTTGAACCCACTCGTCTAAGAAAACCACTCAAGTTAAACAACAGGGCAACGGTAAGCAGTTTTTTACTTGTTCATACATTAACTAACGATAATGAGTTACGAACAAGTTCAGAAAAAGATAACGGCACCAACTTCTGAACATGTCACCTTTATTGAAGCAAAGGAACGAAAATAATTTTACTAGTTTAGCAGGAATGTGTGCGTCACACCTTACGTTCCAAAGTCGAAACTGGGAAAATTATTTATTGCAAATTCTACTAAAACTTCAGGCAACCATTACACGAGAAATTCTCTCACCAAAAGAACTTATTCCATCGAAAAAAGATCCATTCCTTGAATCTACGATCTCGTAACCTTTCCCCAAAGAAAACCAAAGAGGATGAACTTCGCGTGGAAAACTTCCAACTACGCATCGAGCTTGAAAAACTCCGTAACGAAAAGAACATGATTTTAGCCGAGAAAGAGAAATTACAAGCTGAAAAAATGGGGTTAACGCAGGAAATAGGTAATTTTTTTGACAATAATAGTCACGTGAAAACATCATAGTCTTGAATTAACAGAAGACGTGATAAACCAGGTTGCCATTACAGAGGAGAATTGGAAGCTGCGAACAC